GTGCGTGATAGCGACGCAGAGTCGCAGGGTCTGGCTGATGGACATGGACCATGGCCCTAGAATCCCTTGAGGAGTCGTTGAAGGGCATGCCGAGCGCGAGCGCCAGCGCTCTTGTAGGTGCAGTCTGCAGCGCTTGCAAATACCCCGGTGCTGTGAGCTTTGAAAAAATCGTGGTCTTTTGAAGTCTTTGTATCCCTTGAGTCCAGCACTTATCGTGCGATTTGACGGTTGTAGCGCTTTCCGAGACTTTAGAAGGACGACCCACCCGGAGCGGCAGTGGAAGTCTAACCTTCAAACCTCTACCCCGCCAGACACATCCAAAAGATTTTGCATGGATTTTGCGCGCACTTTCGGGCGTTCTAAAAGCCAGCTCTGGGCCTCCTAGGCACGTTTTGGAGCAAGTTCTGGCCGGAACAGGGGAGAAGGACTTGCCCCATGAACAAAACAGCCAGAGACTGCACTGTAACACAGCGTAGTTTTGAAATATGCATTTCAGAGAGAGGTCTTTCAAATGGTTCCAGACCACGCGATTGGTTTTTCACTTTTTTGTTTTTATTGCGTTTTAAAAGCGTCATGTTCTTGGTAAGCTGTTGTGTTTTTGCCCTGTAGAAGCATATTTTCACAGCATGTCATGTTTGCATGTGTGTTTTGGCATGGTAGGACCAGTTGAAAGTGCTTTAAGCTGCCGTTTACTCCCTTTATGCTTGCCGCCCTTCATTCCCACCCGGATGGAGTAATGATGAGCTCGGAAGATTGCGTAGAGGCTTTTGCAGTTGCCTCAGTGACGCAAGGAAGCTTTGGAAGCTGAACTCTGTGTTTGAAGGGTCCACACTTGTCAGTGCAAGCTTTTGCAGANNTCCACTGTTTAGCAGTGTTGTAGAAAAGAATTCGTTTGAAGTGTGCTGTACGTAGCTTGCTCAGAAACTAGACGCAATTTCGCTAACTTGTTGGACTTTTTACGGACAGAACCTTCGCAGCGATTGGACTTCAGCAATTGTGAATGATGCCATGCATCTTCTGCCAACTTCTTCAGCTCCACTCTCGATCCGGTCGAAAAGCTGGAACCAGACTTGGCGCCATCACAGCACTTCTCTTCTCGCATCCGCCTTGAAGGATGTGATTTTTTGTCATGAAGTGTGCTTGTTTTATGCCGACTTTTGATTCATTCGTGCCTGCGACGTCCAAAAAAGGGATTTTCAGAACAGGATTCAAAAGGAAGAAGCCATCAAGCAAAGAAGGATGACAAATGTGAGAAACACACACAACTTGGACGTGCTGTTGCAAAATCATAGTATTCGCCGCAGAACGGAGTGTTGGGACGCAAGGAAACGCGATTTTGTTGTTATGTCCCCACAACCCTGCGCTTTGTTTTGTCTTTTTGTGCGGGACAAGGATGATGATGAGACCTGTAGTGTCATGGCGGAACGTTGGTTCTCTCTCGGCTTCTAATGCTTCGCGTATGCAAGTTCTTCATCAGCAAGTGCCAAGCCCACCCCAGCCAAAGCGGGTTTCTCAACAGAAAGGGCCGACTGGTGTATTCGGTTTTCGAAGAAGTGTTGCGAGACTTTGGGCAGACCAGCAAAGACATCCAGCATCTCCTTATCGTCAGAAGCTTCTTGTAGCAATCAAGCTTGGCCTGCGATGGAAGTCTTTATTTCTCCGCCACCGAGTGCTGGTGGTGTTTCTTTTTAGAGCTTTCGCGGTAAGAAACGGCTTGTTGCGGCTTGTGCAAGAGAGCTTTCTGGGTTTAGCTGCGGAAGAATCCAACCGTTTGTTTGGCACATCTGTTATTGAATGCGTCCTTCTGACCACTTCTTTCGAACTTTGTTGGTGAAAAACGGCTGATGATACGACGAATAAGCACAGGTACCCATTAGTTTCAGTGTGGAAAAGCACTGCAAAACTCCCGGTGCTACTTCCGAGCATGGGTTGAGGAGTGGCACGGAGCATAATGAGGTGTTTAAAGTTCACAAAGTTTCAAGCTTGCGTTGTCCAACTCTGTGTCCGTCCGTCTGATGCCACTTTGCAGTTGCTTGTTTTCCTGCAGCATGTCTTGACTACCACAACGTGACATGATGGAAGATTTTGTAAGTGTTTGTCCAGTTAGAGTTCACTTCCGTCTTAACTTGTGTCGCGCCTCATATCGCACTGTCGTTTGGATGGTGCAACTAGAGCGCATCACAGTCACAACAGCAATGACTCATGACAGTTAACAACAGTTTTAGCAACATGTGCATGCGAGTGTCCTCCGCCATGGCTGCTTTGAAGATGTTGTTTCTCGCCTGGACAAGGGGTAGTTTTGACCCGGCTCTTTTGTCGAGTCAGGGCTTGTGGGGTCTTCAATTCGACGGTCGGGGATTTAAGCTAAGGCAAGTGATTTTGTTGGAATTTATTATTCCCACTCGTTGCGTGTTCCGCTGGTGGAAGGGTCGTCGGGTTCGCGGCGCTTTAGGTGTAGGGTTTTGTTCGACCAGCTATGTTCTGGACATTTGAGCACTAGCCGGGAAAGAACAAGCAATTGGTTTCAATTTCATCACTGAGCCTATTTACACGTCTATTTGCATAGTCTTGCACTGGCGCACAATGTGTGTGGCAGTCTGGTAATAGCTACTACACAGGGACTCAATACCAACGAGCATGCGCATGACTTGGACGTGTTACATATCGACACTGGGCGTGGTATAGTCAAATTGAAGCATCAAGGAAGATCGTACATGTTGAGGACGAGAAGTTACGAGGTCCAGACCGTAATTGAGGTCAGTTCAACGGTGGGATTGTTGGTCATAGATGCGGCTTAATTAAGAGTTAGAGAATCGACCGTCGACCTCTTCTGAAGCCGTCATGAAAACAAAGGCCCGAACCGAAGACTATCCCACACCGCAACCGGTACCACCGCTCAGCAAGGTTTTTTACAGTGTGTTTGCAATGGGACAGACGGTCTTCCGCTGTAGCTTGTTAGCATAACGCGACGACAGAACAGTGGAGCCCCAGCAGTGTATCCGTACGCTGAGAAAGTAGCAGCAGCTAATCATAATATGCGAAGGAAGTCTCCCGTCCAAATGGCGACGTCGAGAGGCATGTCAGGATGTTGGAACCTGGGGCTTCTCTTGGGCGGACTTGACGGAGTGAGCAGACCATCATCATCTTCAGCATCAGCATCAGCATCACCATCAGCATCATCATCACCATCACCATCATCAGCATCATCACCATCATCATCATCATCATCATAGCTGTCATCATCATCACCACCGTCATCATCATCATAATCAGCAACAGAATCAACGAATCAACTAATCATCACCATCGCATCATCATCATCATCATCACCATCATCATCATCATTAAAGTCATCACGATTATCATAACAGTCAGCGTCATCATCATCATCATCATCAACACCACCACCACCATCATCGGATACAGGTTACCATGATCATAACTCGTCGGGCTTCTCACCATCGTCGCCATCCGCGTGAACCTGTCATGCATCCGTGACATGTGTGCCAGCCTGCTCAGTTCCAGAAGCGGCAGTGGTAAGGGCGGTGTCTGGAGTCAGATGGATATGCTCAGGCGGCGTCGACATTCACCACACTGTCGACCCAGTAAGCGGTTTCGTAAGCATGATTCTGAGCCAACCTGCGCTCATTTCGGCACAGTATCCATGTTCTTGTTGAAGGCACGAGTTTGCTTCGAGACTTGCAGCAGGAACAGCGGCACTCCAGGTCGGCTCAAAGATTTGGGCTTTGATGCGTTGCAGTTGTATAGCTGGCTGCTTCTGTCATCCTCACGAAATCACTTGCATTGCCATCATTTGCTGGGCTGACACAGCAGTACATGCCGATCTCCGAGACATTCAGCCAGAGTTTCAGCGTAAAGTTGTTTCCCTTTCCAGCGTTTGAGCCAGCATGTCCGCCCATGTCATCTTTCGAGTTCGCTGCCAAAATACGCAGCCAGGGGAAAAGGCCGGGACAGCGAATGTGTTGGGGGTCCATTCATCTGCCGTGCGTTGGGACATACAGCAACGGTACCTTCCCTTCTGCCTGAGATGGTGATTCTGGGACGGGCAAAGTGGGCACCTGGTTGGTCATCCCCTGCTCTCGATTTAGCCTCACAGGAAAAAGCCCTGCATTCGCAAGAGTACTCTTAGCGGGATCCTGGAGGCGGTTTTTGTGCCATTTGGTGGTGGTGGCCTTGGGAACACGAGTCGGAGTAGCAGGAGCAACCGGACGAAGCAGACGCAAAAATAAAGCCCTAAAGCCCTAAAGGAACCGAGAGGCACCCGACCTACCGTTATAGAAAGCTTCAGGCTCTTCACAACGACCCCCTCCCCCCGGAGCCCTGCCAGGTCTTCGTGGTTGGCTCAGCCCCTGTCCTGGGCCGATGGTCTCCGGAGACTGCGGTGCCCCTGACGACGAATACCTCGGAGCGGGCTTTAGGGCTGAGGGGCTGAGGGCGCCTTAAGGGTGCTTTCTTAGAAGGTAGACTGCAAAGGTTCCTAGAAAGGGGGCAAAGGGGGTTCCTAGAACGGTTACTACAAGGCTACCAGTAAGGATTGCCTTCTGTCTGTCTACCACGAGGGTTAGTTTTGAAGCTTAGGGCGTGTGAAGGGGTCTTCCGCACGTGGGGTGGACGTTGAGTTGTTTCGATAGGGATCAAGGGTGCCTGATGCGGTGTTGTTTACAGTCGGTTAGGGGCTTCTTGCAGGCTTGCGCATGCATATGTTGTAGAGTCGCAGTGTGTGTTCCTAGATAGAGCGGCCCCCTCAAACTGTGCAAGAGTGCCCGCGGACACATCTTGCAATTGCAAAGTTCTTGAGGCAGACAAAGAGAGGGACCATTTCAACTCACTCACTTGTCTACCGGATTCAGGTAGGCCTGGTGAGTGTCAGATAGATGTTTGAAAGTCAAGATCGAGATTCGTACTGGCACATTGTCTTCACGGATCAAGGCTCTTGGTAGTTTGGTCCCAGTGTGTGGCCGCAGAGCCTCGCTTGAAGCATGGCGCAAACTGCCTGGCCGGCTTGGGCTCTGGCCTGGTACTCCTTCCTCTGTTCCATGGCCTTGCTGTGGCCGGACAGCACTTGCTTGAGCTACCGCTTCTGACGATTTGGGGGTTTCCGAAAATAGGGGACCCTAATATAATACCCGAAAGAGTAGGATCCTTATTATAAGGAGCCCCAAATAAGGTACCCCTAATTTTCGGAAAGTCCCATATAGCGGCTAGAGACCTGCGACTATTTGTCGTGGGTGAGACGCATCAGCAGTCTGTGAGGACTCCAGGCCCCAGGTTCAGGATTCAGGGAAGCTCGAGGTTTGTGGTACTCTCTGGTGTTTTAGGATAGGGCATATCCTAAACCCAATGTAGGCTCCAGGGTTTAACCTATGTTTGCGTCGAGTGTCTCGCAATTGTCAAGGTTTCAGGCGACGGGTCAGAAGCATCTGAGCGAGCAGCTGTGCGGAGGTCCCCTAGTGGTGTCGTTTTGTTGATTGATGTGATGGTCTCACGTATCAGGGCCCCTTCATGTGTGGTTACCATTTCCGAAGCACTCGTTAAAGCCGTAAGAAGGTTGGAGTGGCTCGGGATCAGAGGATACAAGTTAAAACAAGCCAGGCAGGTGAGTCTCAGGCTTGATTCTAAGCTGTACATGGAACCCCATCGAAGAGTCGAAGAAGTCCTTTCTTCGGCATTAAGTCTTGAAGCCCGAAAGATACTTCTCCAAGACAAAAGTGGGACGGGGCATTTGGTGCTCCCGAACCCAACAGACTCTCGAGGAAAAAACCGAAGTCTCGCAAGGAACCTTTGTCTGGCCTTGTTTCTGCTGCGATGCGGCAAGCCCTCGGATCCCTGGCATAGAATAGCGTATGCTGTATAGTATAGTGTATTGTATACTATATATATATACATATATATATATATATATCTCTCTCTCTCTCTATATATATATATATACATATATATATATACACACATATATATATACACACACACACACACAGATGTATATATCGGGTTCGGCAGAGGTGTCGGGTTGGTGTGCTGCGGCTAGATGCCTGTTACCCGGGTCTGGGGTTTGCTGGAGTCGGGACGTGGTGGAATCGAGGGGCGAGAAGGGCTTGCGGGGTGTTTGGGTTTAGCAGGTGCACTGTTACTGGATATGGATTTGACGTTTGATTGTTCGCCATGAGAGTATGCGATGGGGATCGTGTAGGGGCTGGGCACTTTGATTTTTGCGGAGGGGTTAGCTCAAGACTCAGGAGGACGTTTGCAGGGCTGTAGACTGCTGGAGGTTGTGGGTGTGTATGTATATATGTATACTGTATAAACATACATACATACATACATACATGCATACATGCAGACATACATACATACCCACATACACAGGCGCGCACGCGTGTGTGTGTGTGTCTGATTTTAAACCAGACCCTGCCTTCAATGTGCATAAGGTGCAGCTCAGATGGAGGCAGTTCGAGGTAGTTCACCGGAGATAGCTGCAATGCTGTAAATGCCACCTCGGTGTTCTCTTTCCTAGATCAGATAGCATGTGCAGAGCCTGCAATTGCGCAGGCTCCCCAAAACTGAACCTCTTTCCTCAGTGCTGGTGAAAATCCAAGCAGAAAAGGAAGACGCTCGACCGTACTGGTATCGGTTTAGCTTGCGCTGGCTTGGTGCAGTCTACATCCTTGTGGCGGCTTGGCTGCCAATTGCGGACGGTTCGAGATTTCGAAGCTGTCGGAGCTCGTGATTGTCAGCACAGGAAGAAGAGCATTTATGATCAACTGTTCGATAAGCCTCCGTCCCAGAAAGACTACAAAGCGAGATTGCTTGACCGGTGCCATCTGCAGGTTTCTCTCTCTTCTTTTAAGTACATGTCTCTCCTTCGTCTTCTCCGTACCTGTATAACCGACAGTAAGGCAGCGGAGATATCCGCAGTCCCGTGAGTCCTCGTTTGCTCCTTTGTCGCGGAGGTCCACATTCTTGATTCTGTCAAGTGGTTGGGCAGTTGAATGCCCCATGCGTCAGGTTGCATACCGAAGCGTCTTTCCGGCAGACTACCCTCACCGGTACGTTTTCTGGGACAACATGATGAGCAGCATTCTCATCCATCGACCCTTGGCATCACTCATGTTGCCTTTCGAGCTATCCCTCCTGCACCACAGTTCGCCGTGGTCTCAGCCGTGAACCAGAACCGGTCTAGCACCTGCGCTGCGGAACACCCGTCGTACATTTACTAATCGACTTATGCCGAAGGAAGCCAAAACACCTGCACCTGCAATCACATTCAGAGTATTACTATTGCTACTATCATAGCTATTATGAAGCACTAGGGTTCTTCTCCCAGAGCCTTTGCTGAGCCTCTAGGACGCTTGGGCGTTTTCGCTCTACTAGCCAGGCTCCCGAACAGAAGCAAACAGAGATTTGCCAGTATTAAGTTATAGCACGTTATAGTATAGCATGTTCTAGTTTGTTATAGTATGTTCTAATCCTTTACAGTATGTTGTAGTGCGTTGTATTCGAGAACCGAAACAATGCTTTCGGAACCCAGGATCTGAGCTGACCACCCTCCAGGCTGAACGTAGGTTACGATAAGGGCTCTATAAGGGTTCTAAGAAGCCTAGGTTTTTGAGGCTTGAAACCTCAAAAATGCAGCAGTAGTTTGCTGATTTCTTGCTGCTTCTAACTGGACTTTGACTCTGAGCTCTGGACATTTCGGCCCGGGATGCCTAAGCCCGGCGCCCTAAGTTCCCTTGTCTCTCTCTCTCTTAAGGGCTTAGGGTTTAGGGAACCCCTAAACCCACCCTTTCGCCCTTTCCGGGACCCTGTTTGCCCTAGCTTGGGGGGCCCGGGGTCTCTGCCCAGGCGCCTGTGCCACGGTGGAGGAGCTGGCCTGGGTGCTGCAGATTGCCATCATCCAAAGCTTCTGCGCAGCCCAGGCTACCCAAGTAGCCATCTCTGAAAACTCCTGAAAAGGTCAAGCGACAGGCTGTGTGGCCTTTGTGGGGTAAAGAGGGGTTATGTTCCAAGGTGCCACATCTTTCTGATGCCACTTTCTCTTTGAGAAATTGAACTTTGCGGTCGGAAGTTCGGCTTTCGCAGTGATCCCTTGAGGCTTTTGGGGGATTCCTTCAGCTCTAAGCTCCCACACCTGAGGTGCTCAACCGAAGCCCTCAACAGTTTAGAGTTCGGGACATGAATATGTTTTAGAAGTATCTAAATATACTATATGATTCTATTTTCAATAATCCCAGATTATGCTTGCAGACGCACCCGTGTCAGGACCTTCTCGTCACGAGACTGTCATTGCTTTGCCTGTTCGATGCTGTCGCAAGGATCCTAGACGTAGCATGTCGCACAAACCCCACGGAAAGCTCCGCAGATTCAGAGTCTAGCAACCTAAGAACCTAAGCCGTCATCAAAGCGAGGGACTCCTGGAAGGCTCGTGACAGCGTCGATCCCAAGCAGGCCCAAAGTGGGCCCAAGGCTCGAGTATGTTGCGGATTTAGCTTGGCCCAAGGCTCGAGTGGTACCAGTGATAGCAGCAGCAATAGCAGCAATGAGCATAAACACAGTACTGATAGCAATATAGCGAGACAGTAATAGTAGCAGTCGTAATAGCAATAACAGCAATAATGCTAAGACGCATAACCGTAGTCGTAGTAATAGGAACAGTAATAGGAATGAAAGTGACAATAATTCTTGTGATACTAGTAATGCTAGTATTACTAGTAAACGTCGTCGTAGTAGTAGTAGTAGTAGTAGTAGTAGTAGTAGTAATAGTAGCAGTAGCAGTAGTAATAATAATAGCAGTGAGGGGAGGAACAGCAATCTGGATCGCATTCCGGCTGTTGAGCAGGTCAGGCAAGGACGGGCCTGTTTGCCGGTCGTGCTAGCCACTTCCATCTGCATGGCGGCCCATCACATCAAGTATGCTTTGCCGCATTTTTTTGTTGGCAGGTAGGTAAAGAAGAAAGAAGGATCTCCTATCAACGGCTCGAAGTACGGTTGCAACTCAAGCTTTTCTTGGCTAAAACTGGTGAGAGAGCAAGTAAGTCAACCGATCACCATGGTCGTTGCCGAGGGGTAGTCATCAGTGACAATCTTTGATAACCAGTAAGGTTCTCATCATCGTCGTTGCTGAGTGCTTCTCCTTCACTGGCACGATAACGCAGGCTTTCTGCTGGTTTGCGTTGGAGGACCCCTGGTCGTGAAGGTATTTAACCGTTCGTCGCACGAAATTTGTAGCCGTCGTCGTCGTCCTCCTCCTCCTCCTCGTCACAGTCGCAGTAGTAGTAGCAGCAGAAGTAGTCGTCGTCTCAGGAGCAAGAGCGGGAGCAGGAGTAGTAGTAATTAGTAGTAGTAGTAGTAGTAGTAGTAGTAGCAGTAGTAGTAGTTTTTGTAGTTAGTCGTAGTGGATAGTAGCTGGTAGTAGCAGAATCTAGTAGTTCGTGGCAGTTCGTAGTCGTTAGTAGCACAAGCGGGAATAGGGGGAGCACGAGGAGGAAGAGGATTACAAGTAACTCTAGTAACAGCAGCAGCAAACAAGTCGTCAGTGTTGCTTACTTATGCCGTCAAGGTACATGACGAAAAGTCGTATCAGGAGACATGCTGGGCCATCGCCTTTGCTATTGGGCTGCCGGTCCTTGGTCTTCACATTTATTCTTGCGGCCACTGAGAAGCCTAACCTCAGCAAAGCTGCCTGGTTCAGTATCCTGCTAAGCCCAAAAACCGTTAAGAGACCGGCCGATGAGAAAAGGTGCGATTTTTAACAAATCAAGCCCCAAGGTCTACGTGCATCTGCTCTTCGCGACTTACAGGCGCAGCCCGGAATGCCACTGCAAGAAGCAGCGTGCGGAAGTTGGACGTGAGGCGACTGGGTTCATCGTAATCTTAACATAGCAAGATGTTCATGGCAGCAGCACCACTCCCATTGGTTCCAGACCTGGATGCACGGTTCGTGTTCCTCGCCTGCAGCCCATGGCCTTGCCAAAATCCTAACTCTCAGATCCAAACCTCTGGGCCCTGAACTCCAAACCACTAATCTGAAACTGCACAGAACTCTGGTGTTGCAGACGTCAAGCTGTGAGTGTGAGGGTCGTTGTTGCTGCAGGGAGTTGCCTAAAGGGATGTGCTCCTTTTCGGAGCCAAGCCAGGCACAAGCTTACACAAAAAATGCACAGTTCCACAGCCGTGCTAACCGAAGTTGTCGGAGGCGACATGTGGATGCTTCACAGGGCTGCACTTCGCCATAGCCCTCACGATCTTCTGCCTTGGCTACGTGCCGTACATGGCCGCAGTAGCCTGGCCTTGTGCCGTCTGAAGTTGGGGTGTCCGGCTTGTCTGTTTTCTTTTTGGCTTGCGGTAAGCCTGGGAGCTGGGAGAGAAGGCACTTTCGGTCCAACCTAGGCGGGCATGCAAACTGTAACCCTCAGCTGCTGCCAGCCCCAAGCGAGTGATGAAAGGGCCGCAGGTTTTGTTGGGTAGAACCCTTGTACCTGGATCGAGGCTTTCTGCCAACAGCCCTAAACCCTAAACCCCAAGTAATCTGTTGCAGCAGCCAAGGTGGACGTCCCTTCCTACTGGGAGGCCTACGATGCGCAGAAGCTCGAGGGAATCGAACCAAATGGCTTTAAGCAAGGCCAGGTATTGGGGGCTACTGTATCAGTTTTCAGAGTCCGAGGATTTTGGCGAGCTTTTACAGGATTGTGGTGGGGTTTCCATGCTTTTGTAGGGTTTAGGTTTTGCTCGAAGGTGCACACCCGAGAATTATACATGCCGGGGTGATGATAGTTCATCCCAGCAGCTCTCCAATGCCTACATGAACGGATCTGAACCGTGCTTCCAGATATTCGGCGAGTTTATTTGACTACTGTTGAGCCGAAGTGCAATTTCGTGAGCATCGCAAGCTCACAACTTGTGATCTAGAGTGTTTGCAGTTTGCGGTTCTCTTGCTGTTCAATCCTCAGCAGTTCCCACCCCTGCACGGGTGGGGCAGAAACAAACCTGTGATGGCTAGGCCGGTCGTAGCTATGAATCATGTGGACAGAGCTAATGCTGGTGACTCATGGGAATGGGTAATTGCAAGCCTCCATCCTAGAATTGCCATGGCTTCTGACTTCTGCCTTGGAATCGTGGGCCGGTCCCGCGCCCGCCGAAACAGCAGTGTCACCGGCACTGAAAAAGTCCAGGTGTTCATGGATGGCATGCATCCGAATCGTCCATCGCTGCTTCGTTTGGATTCCACCCGGGCAATCCTGAAGCATTGAACCTGGACAGGCTATTCCTTTCTTCCGCTGCCCGACTTCTGCACCGACTTGTGCCGAGGTCTGTTTACAGCTGAATTCAGCCCTGTGGAACGAGCTGACAGGGCTTGGATCGCTGGCCGTTGGGCTGGGGCCGTGCTTCGCCGGCAGGCCGACCGTCCTGATCCTTCGGGCTCCTTGCCCTCGAGCTCCCGCTTCCTCCATTGTGTTCTGCGTGCACGTGGCTTGGCCTCGCCCCGTTGTCTGTGCCTCCATCGGCGATCATTGGCCCTGAGCTCGGGGATTCCATTCCGCACGGTTTTCCGTTTTCTTCCTAGGCTCGAGTGTTTTTTCGCAGGGGCCCAGCCGAGCAGCCTCTTTTCCCGAATGCGCAGCAGAAGGGTTCTCGTTTAGAGGTTGGGGGTCTGGGGGTTAAGGAGTTGACGCGAAATCCGTGCGGAGCGTCCGCGAAGCGTCCGCTAAGCCGCCGCTAGTAGGGGATTAGCCATGAAAATGCACCGTTCCGGCGGCGGCGCATGCTGTGTTTTTGCTACCAATCCCTTACTAGCGGCGGAAATTCACTGCTCGCATGGCAATCGTTGTGTTAATCTTGATTTCATTTGCCACCGATGTTCGGGTATTCTGCGTCGTCTTGAGAAGCGCTATCGCATTCGGGTTCGTGGGTCCTACCAGGTTTCTCGCTGGATGATCATGCCCAGCCTTTCTGTGCAGAGGTGCCCGTGGATCTTCTTTGAGTTGCAAAGGAAGAGAGGGCGAGGTTCTGATAGAACCGAGCCTGAAACGCCGGATGCCCTCTCAAGCTTTCCCGGCCCACCCCGCCCGGGTTGACAGCGCTGGGGAAGTCCTTTTTGGCACCCGGGCTTTGCCACCATGAACTTTCAATGGCAGCAGCCTGTTTTGCTCGCGGAATGATCATGCCCAGCCTTTCTGTGCAGAGGTGTCCGTGGATCTTCTTCAAGTTGCAGAGAGAGAGAGAGAGAGAGAGAGAGAGAGAGAGAGAGAGAGTGAGAGAGAGAGAGAGAGAGGGCGAAATTCTGTATAGTTTGACTGACTTGATGTTGTTGTGAGAATTGCCGCTCCTGATTGTGCTGAGGCAGCTGTTTCTGACCTCACCTCCCAAGTCACTACAACACTGCACCGAACTCTAAACCTCAAGTGCCAAGGGCCAAGCCCCTCAACCAGCCCTATTTTGTGGGTTCCCGGGTATCTCCGAAGCAAGGGGCCTTGAGCTTGCAGTTTCGGAGGTGTTTGGAATGCTTTCACCTACCGGGAGCAGACGAGGGCCTTGTCATCTTGGCAGTGACCTGGACCCGTTTAGCACTCGTTTCCTTGCGAGTGCTTTAGTTTCCGCATGATTACATCCTCAACTCCAATGCACGGCAAATCACCAAAGCCCTGCTCTAACTAGTTTGAAAACTGAAATCCATCCCGTAAGCCCAAGGTCAAATCTTCTCTGGAAGACAGTTCCTGGGCACGCGTTCTGCGATGAGGGCTTCAGGTTTAGGAATCGTCTCTTTTATCTTATTCTTAAACCCTAAACTAAACCCTAAACCCTAAACCAAAAACCCTAAACCCGAAAGCCTAAACCCGGAACCCGAAACCCTGAACCTTAAACCCTAAACCCTAAACCCTAAAGCCTCAACCCTAAGCCCTGAACTGAAAGCTCCAGGTCTACTTCACCTTGGGGCCCTGGCTGAGCCTGGCAATGATGACGGTGCCGGTCCTTCCCGAGCAGGAGGGGGCCCTTAGGGTTTAGGGTTCAGGGTTGAGGGTTTAGGGTTTAGCCCAAAGTCTGACACCCTGCATTGAAGCCTAGCAAAGAGAGCTCTAAACCCTGAACCTTGCAGAGATGTTGATTCTGAGGGTAGTGCACTCCAGGACACTAAACCTTGGGCCCCAGAAAAGAGTTTGGCTGCACAGCTTCGATCCTGAAGCCGAATCCTTTAGAAGCCTGAGCCATCCTCATTCACTGAGCCCATGTGGACCGTTTCGGGACATAAGGGAAGCTGATCCATGTTTTTCATCATAAAACGCCAAGAATCGTAGACTTGCTAGAGAACGCCTGTGAGACCCTAAATAAACCCGAAAGCCTAGACCCTAAGCCCTTTAACCCCAAGAAGCAAGCCTGAAACCCTGCACCCGAAACCCCAAACCCGAAGCCCTAAAGCCCTGAAGCCCTAAAGCCCTAAAGCCCTAAAGCCCTAAAACCCTAAAACCCCTGAAGCCTTAAGAGCCCTAAGCCCTCAGCCCAAAAGCCTTGCGGCCGCCAGGCGGAGGAGAAGGCGAACTTCGAGTCCGAGCGACCTTCCGAGGTCTGAAACTGCCGGGGAGATTAGGGTTAAGGACTAAGGGTATTAGGGTTTAGGGTTTACCCCAAGCTGCAGACTCTGAAATATTTCGGGCCTCGGCAAGGGGCATTCAAATTTTAAAACAGATCCAAGAGGGCACTCGCCGTGGTCCTGCACAGCGCCGCCTTGTCCAAAGCTTCCGAGCTCTTGAGACCTTTGCTCTCTCAGCTTCGGAGCTTTCGGGCATGGGGCTGATTCTTCTCGATGCTGGCTGCCCTATCCCACCACACTCCCTGTATTTCGTTCACTGTCGACATTTCCTCAGCCCTCGCCTTATCACCCTTGCCGACCTGCAGACACACGCAAGACTGCAGCATTGAGAAGCCTTCCCGGAGTCCTAGGGCTGCCTTGCGCCCTAAAGCCTCGAACTTGATTCATGATTCGTTTCAGTCAGACCTGAGACCTACGAAGAAACAACCCCCAAACGTGCAACATGCCCCCGTATGCCCCCCATGGCACGAGGGTTTGTATTCTGCATAATTACACAGTATATACATACGCACTTTTACAGGTATCTGCAAAGGAACAGCTGTGATGCTTGACGTCCCGTTGACAACGACATATTGAACTTGTTCTTTTGGTCCTTATTATTATGGCTGGTAATGCCGTCAAGGACGTCGTTTATGAGAAAACATGAGGACATAATGGTTTGGCAAGCATATTTACGATGAATAGTTTTTAGAAGGGCCGAGCTGTGCTTTCACGCCGTGGAGCTTGGACGCATCTCCGAAGGCGCAGTGAGTGAGTGAGTGAGTGAGTGAGTGAGTGAGTACATCGTCTGCTGTCGCTACGGCTGCCGCTGCTGCTGCTGCTGCTGTTGCTGCTGCTGCTTCTCCCAGCACTAGCAGCACTACCACGACTGCTCGAAGTATAAGTCGTCGTCGTCGTCGTAGTAG